GTTTGTCCCTTCCAGTAGTTCCCTCTCTGTGTGTAAAGCATGACCTTCCTGCCCCCAATGGTCGAGGTGATGAGAGCATCCACATGCAAGCCTCCGTCCGGATAGTCTTCCGATTGTGAGTTGACCCACACGCCTGGAAGCGTCCCGATGGTTCCCGTCCACGTTGTCCCCATGTCACGCGAATCGTACACCCTCTGGTCATTCTCGCAATCAACAATCATGAGAAGTGATCCCTCCCACTCGGTGACGCGGGGGTTATAGCAGTTGGGAGGAGACATACCCTCTGAGAGCAATCATTTTTTGCCGCCATTCTTCGAATAGACAATCGTGTAAAAAGCTTCATTTGGGTTTTCCTTCCTCGCCATCAGAGAAAACACGAGTGTGCCATCCTCCATCAGAACACCTGAGCCACCAGAAGGAAAAAGGGTATTCAATTTACTTTTGTGATTCAATGAATATTTCGAATCGAACAGCGGTCTTGGGTCACCCCATTTGATCCGTTCACCCGGATCGCCGGGTGTAGAATTCGTGACATCACCCACAAACAGTTTCAGCTCCAAGCCGCCCTCTCTCCAGCACACACCTTCGTAGGACACATCAGAGCCTCCCGCAGGATGAAACACCTTGTTGCCCTTCGTGATTGTTGTGGGGCGGAGCACAACGCCCAAACTCTCCTCTTCCTCAGCTGCACAAACCACAGTGTGTGCCTTCCATGTACCTTTATTAACCTTTTCAACAAGAGTGGACCAATTCCACGCAGCGTCGATGTACTCCGCCACAACATCAGAAGACGGCTTAATTGATGGACCACCTTGATATTCGGTTTCCATGCGACCCTCGGCAAAAGCAGCAATTACTCCACCAGCACTGACAAGAGAGGGTGAAACAAATGCATCCCTCTTCGTCCCTTGAGACCTTCCATCTTTCGATACAACCAGCGTCTGATTCGGCAAAAATAGATCGACCGTATGAGGCAATTGCACATTCCCCGAATTACTCGTCGCGGCGTTCGAAGCCCCACCACTGGAGCACATCATCACGACGAGGAGAAGCAGCACCGCGGAAGTAAACACACGCCGGGACATGTTGGGCCTCTGCCGCTCACTCTCTCTTCGTTCCCTCCTCCTTCCGCTGGATCCGGTCACGCGGCGACGGTTGTGTGTGCGGGGTGCCTTCACTGCAGCAACGCTTGAGAGCATATAAATATGTGTGTGGGCGGTGTGTGCTGTTGGTCCTTTCAGTGCCTTCGGATTTCACAGTAGCGATTAGCGTTTAGTCGTAACTTCCTTCTTGGAGGTGAGCAACAGGCAACAGAGGCAGAAAGGCAGCAAAACAGTACACACCGCCACCACTCAATACAAAGCACAACATCAGCGTCCCCACAGCCATTATTCTCCAGCACCCCTCAACACCATAAAAAGATTAAGAAAAACAAGTGAGCAGCCTCCCAATGGGGGACCGCGGGCCATGGTCCTGCAAACAAGACAAATGAGAGGGGGCTAGGTGTGGAGTGAGGAAAAAGAGAGTTGCACTGCAACGACACGGCGGCGTGACAACCCGTGGGAAGTATCGATGCAGAACAGCACATCGCCTGCAGGAAAAGTTGCTTCTCCCGCTGAGCAGAGAGGAAAAACAGCCTCAGCAGCCCCAATGATGAGAGGTCGCCTGCACCTCCTCGCAGCACCCGCAAGCTCGGCAGACACAAAGATGCAGGTGACGCTCTGCTGCACGCATGACGGCCGTCACATCCTTCACAATGGAAATTGCATCCTGTCGCACCACACGCCGCAGTGGATATGCACAGCATCCGTCTCCCTCCTGCCTTTCCCTCTCCCTGAGAACTCATCGGTGGCCGTGGCACACCCACCGACATGTCGGAAATCACCTGTTTTTCTTCTTCCTCGCACATCGCACAGCAGCACCGCCAACCTCATTTTATCTCCCTTTATTTTACGTATCCTCTTCCGTCAAACCTTCCGATACCTCCATCCGCCCACCTCCGTTCATGTCGTCTCCCCTTCAGGTGCTCGCACCACACTCACAGTCCTCTTGATTGTTATCTTCTGGCCGCATTAAGTTCCCATCAGCACCATTGGGAATGAATCCTCGCATGAATGAAGATTGTTGTTGCAGAGCGTTGTCGCCCTCCTAATCAAAGGGAAACAACAACGGATAAACGCCCACAAAAAAAAAGCATGGCAGTCTTTCCCTACGAATGTGTGCACCCAAACTCATTTCATCCGTTCCCCCTCGTCAGTCATCCTTGCCCACAGCACCGCGAAAGCACGTTTTTACCCGTGATCCCGGAAAGAAATGCCGTTTCCCTCACCACCGTCACATCCACACTGGTGCGCAGTTGCCGCTCGCACGTACCCTCTTCCACATAAACAAAGCCAATCCACAAACGATAAAATAAAAAAGCAGCGCGATGCGTTGACAAATTCCTTCCCTTCCGTCTGTTTCGTGATGAAGCCCCGCCTCCTTGCTGATGTATTTCTGTCTCCTCTTTATGTCACCCACACAAATAAAATGCTCAAACAAAGTCCTGAAACCCTTTTATATGTCACCGACACCTGCTCTGCGCCCTTGTGTCGCGTCAATAAAGGACCGTCATTCACAAATGCACCCCGATTTTCAAAAAGAATACCCGCACCCCAATAATCCTTTAACAGGGTATTAAGAGCCAGCTCAGAAACATGCACCACCAATACAATCATAAAGCCCGTAATGAAAAGTCCACTCCAGCATGGACCTTTTTTTAAGTCTTCATCGCAAACGGCCATGTACGAATTGAACTTGTCCAAACAAAACATTCCTCTGTGTCAAATCCATTCTCGTCATGAATCCTTCATGAAACCCCGCCGTACTGGTTAAACTTTCATCACTCAATCGGCCACGGCAAGCAAGAACGGAAACAGCTACATAACGACAATCATCTGGTAAAGCATGCCTTTGGCGTTGTAGGCGGATAATCGCACAGAAACAGTGCCCATCCACAAGAAAACAGCATACACTGCGGCTCCTGCACTCCCTAATAAGCGCCTCATGAAATAAAAATTTGTGTCACGATTTCAGAGCACTGAAGTACAAAAAAAAATGAATTGAAGGCAACAGTCGAGCACAAGTTCTACCGAGTCTTTCTCCGCAGGGAGAAAGGGCACCAAGCAAACTGCGCTCGACATTCACTCAAAATAACACACCAATAAGTAAACCAAGGGGAGTGTGGAAATGGATTTATTCCATTCAGCAGCCCCAGCGGATCATAAAATACAAAAGGGGCCCAACGTAACGATGGTTCCTATCATGGCACCACACAACGTCGTGCTTCCATTTCAGGATGGGAATTAAGGAGTTAGCTGCAAGTACAGAAACCGTCTTCTCCACCCAGCACAGGACGCTGAGAAACTAGCCAACAGACCCAGAAAGAACAACATGCAGCAAATCGCTCTCAATATTCCGGTAATCCCTTCTCACGCCGAGTTATCGTCGCGGCCGACAAGTCCAGTTTGCGCGGTCCGCCTTTGTGAATTCACAAGCGCCATCATGATGAACAACCCACAAACATACCAAGGCAATCCATACGTGATTTCCTCAAACACCCTTGCAAAGCCTTCCAACACCTTCTGCCCCGTGATGCAGATCGTTTCTGGAAGTAAAACCATTCGTGGTGAAGAAGCGCATCCCTCGTCAAAGGCACATCGCCCATCACACGCGATGCTTGCGCCTTCAACGCCCTCCGCCCATTCGCCGAGAAGAAGAAATGATCACGAGCAACAGCATCAGTGGCGCGCACGTCACACGCAAAGAATCCTAATCAACCAAGCAAGCGATATTGAGGTTCAATCCGCTGATACCTCCGAAAAGCAATGGAAATATTGTTGGGCAGCAGATTTCTCGGACTAAACGTCATCCACACTTCAGCACATTTCGCGCCAAACATTCCCAAAAAACGCGTTTGGCGTGCGTGTGACAGACGCAAGAGCAAGAAAAAGATGGAGCACAAAAAAACACTGAACCCCCAGAAAAAGAGCATTCTTATGTGTTCCCTCGCTTGCCCTCGCACGTCTCATTTCCGTGGGGCGGGCCTGTGGAATATGCGGGGGGCAGCCGGGCCCATCAAGGCGATTCCCATTCTCAAGCGTCATGACCCGCCGTACGCTCCCGAGCTCACGTTTTCGCATACCACGCGCCCGCTTTACTTTGATGACAGTCGCGGGACTCCAAATTCCCCAGTGTGTCCCGCAGTTTCTTGCCCTCTTGCTTTCGCTCTTCGTTTACAATTCATTCCTGGCAAGTATTCCTCTCGGGTGGTCGCCTGTTGCAATGATGAGGCGCAATGGCAATCGTGATGAGCATCGCCAGCGACACAATTCAGACACATCAGTGGCATTTAGGCTTGGCGCCACACGGGACCCGGCGCTTCGCTCGCCCAATGAAAAGCTGCGGCCCCGTTGGTCTGGAAAGCGCGCGGCACAAGTCGGTATCCCCACGCGGCAATCAAACGGCTCAGAAACAGCGCGTCATCAGAGGCACGCTCGGCACACCCCACTGCAGAGCCAGTGGGTAAATTTAGAGCAAATTGGCACGACTGCGGCGTGCCATGGCGGACGGCAGAAATCATCTCGCGGTATTGTACGGGGTAAACGTCTACAATTCGCTGTGGCAGCCAGGCGCAGAACAGATCGTCAATGGCGACAAAAGATGTTCGCCACGTGTCTGTCTCAGCCACATTCGCTAAGAATAATCGGCGGCGTTGAGTTTCTTGTGTCAAAGAGTAGAGGATAAAAAGGAAAAAAAAACGCAATATTAGGCAACGCCGCATTTCCCAATGCTCCTTGATATGTCAGTTCAAATTTCTCAGAGACGTAAACTCTGTGTGGAAATGACGCCTCATTTCCGACCCGCTCTCATGAGTAAGTGAGATATGTTTGTGTGTGGGGAGAGGAATATAGTATTCATCGGTGCCTTTGATTTTCATTCTCCTCGCCTCTTCTTTTCCGTCAAATGAGTGCCGCGCCCGGCAACTCTGAAGAAGCGCCGCCAGAGCCAAAGATAAATGACCCGACGCGCGACAAAATATTGCCGAGTGGAGAAAGCGTCGGGAAGAGGACAACACTCGAAATAAAACTAGGAATTTGCTTCAGAAATTCAAAAAACAGCACCTCCTGCACCATATTGCATACCTCCATAAGCGTTTTTCTGGAGACGTCGCGAAAACGCACAGTAGGCAGCCTTATTGTGGCGCGGTGCAGGGATGGAACGAACGTCCCAATTGGCGAACCACGAAAAAGAACATCTTCAGGAGGCCGCACCCTCCTGTCATAAGTTAGAATGACGCAGATCTCACATATGACCACAGAATTGATTTCAATGCGTCGGCTCCTTGAAAATGGAGAAATGAATGGCACGGCGATTGCTGGACTTGCGTCACCACCCTTACTTCCTTTCTTCTTCATTGTCTTCCATGAATTGTCTTGGCAGTGTGCTGCCAGCTGGTAAAACTGATAAAAAAGGATATCGGATAATTCCAACTCTAGCCGTGTTGCATTCACCTGAGCCGAGCATGCGGAGATTGCATTGATCAACAATTCCACATCACGCACTGTCATATCAAAACAGAACGGTTTAAGCACATGGCAATTTTTTGATTTATATGTGCTCTGAATGGACGCATTTGACATTGTGTACTGCGCCGTTAACTT